CCCATCTACAGTCAAAGTGACGCTAGAATTCACAAATTCCAAAGGATAGGGGGAAGAGGACGTAAGCGTTTCAGAAAAATTCAAGGTTGAAGTAGACACTACACCGCTTCCTACATTGATAACCTCACCCGAGTCATTCGTAAAGTTCACTTGTCCTGATGAAAAAACGAGGGTGTCTACCTGGCCGAAAAGTAACTGATTGTTCGATAGAGTCATCGCAGGGAGGCCTCCATCCACGAAACCAACCGAAAACTGAGTTGGATTCCAACTTAAATAAGAAGAACCATTTCCAACTGCAATTGTCACTTGGTCTTCTGTGAAGCTCACGGTGTCAAGACCACTCAAAGAGACATCGTTCTCAGACATCTGAATTCGTCCTTCACCAACAGTAAGACCCCAATTATCTCCAGTCCACCGCAGACTGGAAGATCCTTCGTCAACAGTCACGGTTATAAGGGCAGGTGATAAAGACATCACACCATTCAATAAATTGATCGAATTGTTGTTAAATTCCACTAATGGAGATTCTTGGTTAACAATGCCTGCCGTAAAACCGTCGTTCATGACAAACGACCCATCGGAAGACAAAGACACAGAAAAGTCGCCTGCATTCCATTGAACTCCAGAAGTCGATACTTCCAAAACTTCGTTCGACTTGAGAGACAGCGACCATTCATCTGAAGAAGGCAAGTTAAGTCCCACCGACGACCACGTTGTATCCAGACCTCCAAGTACAAGATCTCCCGATTCACTAGTGAACGTGCTTGAAACGGTGAAATTGTTTTCTAGAGAATATATGAGCCCACGAAGTGACGACACCTGTGAATTGAGTTGCGATTGCAATGTCGAAATGGAAGAACTCACTACTTCCATCGATTCAGTCGTGCTCTTGTCCATTGAAGAGACATACGTAGTCACAGATTGAACTGCTGTTAGACTGCTTTTCGCATCTGAAATAAGAGAACTCAATAAAGTAGCGGATGAGCTGTTTAGCGTGCTACTTGAAGAAAGCATAGAGTTTAAAGTTGAAAGCGCTTGAGAAGTGGCGTTTTCCACGCTTGTGAGCTCATTGAGCATATCAGTAAAGTAAGTATCGTCTCCTGTGCGTGCGTATCTGTCCGCATAATTCAGGTAGTTGATCAGTCCCTGCGTTATAGACGAGTTCAACGAGCTCACAGTGTTCACCGAAAGATAAAGACTGGTCATAGCGATGCCTTCCTTACTGGCCTCTTCCTGAATAGTACTTGAAAGGTCTTCTACACTGCTCTTCACGCTGGAAATATCCGAGTAGAGAATATCCCAAACAATTAAGAAAAGCAATAATGAAACCACCGTGACCATTATGCTCGATAAGGCCACTTGCACAGTAGTGGAGACCATTTTTTTTGTATTTTAAAGCGAAAACATCCTTGCTCTTTCCATAAAACCAATGAACAGTTTCGATAAAATTTGGGAACCCATTCACTCTTCAGTCCAAGGATGGTTTTCCAAGGAAGCAGCTCATGAGCTCTATCAAATTATCCAACAGAAAGCCACTATAATTCCAGAAGAGGGAGAATGGCTAGAAATAGGAGCATGGCTTGGGAGATCAACAGCTTTTTTCTCTTCCGTTCTCAACGAGTTCTACGGCAAAAACAAAAAATTGAACGTCATAGACACATTCAAAGGAACACCAGGAGAAACTTACCACGAAACATACTTGCAAGAAAAAGACCTCTTCATAGAGTTTCAGAAAAACATGGAAAAGCTCAACATCCAAGTCGAAGTGCATAGAGGAAGATCAGTCGATATCCAATGGAACAAGCCTATCTCATTTCTTTATGTTGATGGCGATCATGAATTGTACTATGTCATGGAAGAATTCCGCAAATTTGATCCCTTCCTGTTAACCGGAGGTATTATAGCGTTAGATGACGTCCCATCCTGGATAGGACCTACTCACCTCGCAGGACATATTTCATCCATGAACAACTATCAAAAACAGTGGGCAGGGGCTAATACAATCGTCTTCCAGAAAGTGTGAAACAAATTGCAAATAAAAAAAATAGAGAATGCCGTCTCTACCTAGGACAGAAGGCGTTGCGCTCGAAGGACCTCCATGGTATCAACTATCTGTTCTAGAAGAAACCATTCACCGAACGACATCTTGTGTTTCTCTCATGCAGCTTTCCTCTACAATTTCAAAAACATGGGACACTATCGAAAAATACCTCAACCAGACCAAAGACACGCAGACTATCGAGATTATCAACAACCAACTCTATCACTGCTCCGTCTTATATGAAACTTGTCTTTCTCAATTATGTTACGGTCAACTTTAAAAATACACCACACCATGACAACCAAAGGGAGCCAAATTAGTGTGAACCCTAGCAACTACCGCCCACAAGCTGAACTCACCCTTTCCATTCCCACGCCAGGCTACGGAGAACCCGTGTCCACCTCGTCTAAAACAACAGCAGCAGCAACAGCCTCAACTCCCGCACCCGCTCAGACTGCGACTACGCAAAAAAAGACTACTCAAAAAAGCCCCACTACTGCCCAAAAACCCAGCGAGAAAGCAGGGAAAAGCGGAGGAGGCGGAGGTGGGGGAGGAATATGGGCTCTTTTTCTTGGATTACTCATCATTGCAGGATCAGGGGCCGGGGCTTACTATTACTTTTTCATTTATAAGAAACACACCTCATCGAAGTAGGACATTGTAAAAAAAAACCAAAATGCGCCTGACTAATGAAGCCGTAAGAATCTTTATTCTCATATATCCCTTCGTCTTTCTTTTCGGATGCATCCTGTATATTGTTCAACAGCTGCACCGAGCAGTGACGGCGCCTTTCCGATTAATACAGAAAATAAAAGAAACATTCAAAACGATACTCATTTGGCCTTCAAATAAGGAGAAACAAATATGGCAAAAAGAACCCAAAGCAAATTTCCAAAGAACTTTCTAGAAAAAAACAGTTAACCGCTACTTTGGTGACCAAAAAAGGCATAGTACAGCCTAAAAAATGTTCCTTGGCGCGAATTCGTCTGTCCTTTTGAGAGAGAATAAAATCAACAAATACAAAACCAAGTCAACTGCAATTTATTCAGTACGCCTTCATTTTAAGAATGGGTTTGCATCTCCAGAAACCTCCTGAGTAGAGACTCACAAAGCGTCATTTTTTGACGATTCTTCCTCGACAAATGCTACCCCTTTTGGTCTTGTAAATTCAATTTTTTGGCTATATTTTCAGCTCCATCATTTAAGCTTCGGGACAGATACTTCCTCGAATTCTTCTGTCCTTTTTATAGAGTTTTACAATCTCCCTTACAAAACCAAGGTCAACTGCAATTTATTCAGTACGCCTTCATTTTAAGAAAGGGTTTGCATCTCCACAAACCTCCTGAGTAGAGACTCACAAAGCGTCATTTTTTGACGATTCTTCCTCGACAAATGCTACCCCTTTTGGTCTTGTAAATTCAATTTTTTGGCTATATTTTCAGCTCCATCATTTAAGCTTCGGGACAGATACTTCCTCGAATTCTTCTGTCCTTTTTATAGAGTTTTACAATCTCCCTTACAAAACCAAGTTCAACTGCAATTTATTCAGTACGCCTTCATTTTAAGAATGGGTTTGCATCTCCACAAACCTCCTGAGTAGAGACTCACAAAGCGTCATTTTTTGACGATTCTTCCTCGACAAATGCTACCCCTTTTGGTCTTGTAAATTCAATTTTTTGGCTATATTTTCAGCTCCATCATTTAAGCTTCGGGACAGATACTTCCTCGAATTCTTCTGTCCTTTTTATAGAGTTTTACATCTCCCTTACAAAACCAAGGTCAACTGCAATTTATTCAGTACGCCTTCATTTTAAGAATGGGTTTGCATCTCCACAAACCTCCTGAGTAGAGACTCACAAAGCGTCATTTTTTGACGATTCTTCCTCGACAAATGCTACCCCTTTTGGTCTTGTAAATTCAATTTTTTGGCTATATTTTCAACTCCATCATTTAAGCTTCGGAACAGATACTTCCTCGAATTCTTCTGTCCTTTTTATAGAGTTTTACAATCTCCCTTACAAAACCAAGGTCAACTGCAATTTATTCAGTACGCCTTCATTTTAAGAATGGGTTTGCATCTCCAGAAACCTCCTGAGTAGAGACTCACAAAGCGTCATTTTTTGACGATTCTTCCTCGACAAATGCTACCCCTTTTGGTCTTGTAAATTCAATTTTTTGGCTATATTTTCAACTCCATCATTTAAGCTTCGGGACAGATACTTCCTCGAATTCGTCAAAAAAAATAAAGATTGGTTCATATCCGCGAGTTAACAAATCTTTCTTCATCATTCCAATGACGTTTGCAATGCAAGCTCGCTTTCCCTTCCTTTTTTTTTTCGCATCCTGGCATCCTGCATGTTGCATAGTAAATATGAACTTCGCGATCGGTGAAATGTCGCTTGCAGTGAACACTATCTTTTCCCCAAGCTCGTTTATCGCAACCTTCAATTGCGCAGCAATTCTTATTAGCAGCGCGTTCCTTTTCATCCCAATGCCTAGCACAGTGAATGCCAACTCCGCGCGGTCGGCTACTGCAGTTTTGAAACTCGCACTTCTTGGCATTTGTCTCGCGTTCTTCCTCAGTCCAATGTTGCTTGCAATGCAAGCTATCTTTGCCACGCACTCGGTTACAACAACCTTCATTTTCACAAATCCTCAGGTTCGCTTCGCGCTCTGTTTCATCCCAGTGCTCAACGCAGTGTCTGCTCCCCGCACCTTGAACTCGCTTTCCACAGTCTTCGACCTCACAGCATTTAGGTTTGTTGTCTTCTCGTTCTTTTCGATTCCAATGCCTTGCACAATGTATACTATGTCGGCCACGTGCTCGATTACTGCAACCTTCAACTGTGCAATTCTTTACATTCTCTTGTCGCTCAGCCTCATTCCAATGTCTTACACAATGCACACTCTTTGCGCCCTGGATTCCGTTTTCACAACCCTCAACCTCACATTTCCTTAGATTTAACCTACGTTCATCCTCATTCCAATGTCGGCCGCAGTGCAAACTATGTGTTCCTCGCGCTGCACGTTCGCATCCTTTAACCTCACAAATCTGCCTATTCATTTCGCGTTCGCCTTCATTCCAATGTCTCATGCAGTGCACACTTTTTGTACCACGGGCTAGTTTTTCGCAGCCATCGACCTCGCATTTACTCAGATGTGACCTACGTTCGTCCTCATTCCAATGTGTACGGCAGCGCAAAGTACGCGTTCCTCGTACCGGACGTCCGCATCCTTCAACCTCACAAACCTGCGTATTCGTTTCGCGTTCAGTCTCATCCCAATGTTTTCTGCAATGTTTGCTCTTAGCTCCTTGTATTTGTCTCTCACAACCTTCAATCTCACATTTCTTCACGTTCACTTCAAGCTCAAACTCATCCCAGTGTTTCCTGCAGTGTTTGCTTCTTGCTCCTTGAATTCGTGTTCCGCA